TATATATATATATATATATATACATATAAATGAATCGCTTTTTTTTTTTTTTTTTTACTTACAACCTGTGTAAATCACAAGTTAAAAAAGACATTTGTGAGTTGCAACTTGTAACTCATATACACACTCATCATACTTATGGCATCCCTTTGGTGGCTTTATATCTTAAATCATTCCTTGGTCATATTATAAAGAATCTTCGCTTATTTGATAGTCAAACAACCCTAATCTACAATTTGGTACCTCCATCCCAAGTAAAATACTCTTATCCCTATAAACTTTGTCTAATTTTCCCTTTAGCATTAGGGTCTACAAAGGTGACCTAACCATCTAAGAATTGGGCTTAATTAAGATTTTGTTTGAGTGTCTACTTTTAGCCTAGACTATGCAACTCTAATCCATGTCCTCTTGTCCACTTGATATTCCAAGCCACATAACTGAAATTAAAACCTTTTTTTTTTTTCTGACAACTATCTATTATATAAGTTTTTTTTAATGATATAGACTTTCTACTTAACAAGAGACAATATAAAAAGGAAAATGTTCTGAACATTCTTTCTGACATACTTTTTTAAATAATTTTTTTAATTGATATAAATTTATTGAAAAATAGAAGTTGGTGAATCTAATTTTATTAATGACTCTCTCATAATTATGTAATTTTTAATAAATGTTAACCAATAAAATATAGTACAATAAAAAGAGTGTGATACAAAGTGTTTTTCTTAACATTATTCGCATGCAAGTATCAAAGAAAATGAAAGTTATGAAATAATGATGGAAAGAAATTTAGTTCATGATCGAGTTGGTTTAGGTTCGGGTTGAAGTAAAAATTTAATTCAAATTAATTAATTTTAATTGACTTAGATTAATTCATATTTCATTTTTTTTTGCTTAACTCAAATCGAACCAATATGATGTTGATTGGGTTAGTTCAGTTTAAGTCATCAAATATTCAATAAATTTTTAAAAAAATTAAAATAAAAAATATCAAATTAAATAGATTTTAAATTGATACGTTGTCAAAAATTAACTAAATTGATAGATTTTCAATAGTTCATCTTGGTTTCTTTTCCTAATATACTTGAAGATATCAAATGTACTATTATGTGTGAAAATGACACTCAATATATAATAATACAATTCTTATTGGTTCTTTTAATATTTTAAAAAAATAGTAATGGAATCTACATATTTTAACACAAAAACATCTTTAAAATAATCAAAAATAATATATATATATATAATATTAATTGTTAATTAAATAAAAATAAAATAAAAATAAAAATTAATTAGTTTAATTCAAATTCATTCAAATTTTAAATATCTAAATCTAATACTAAAACCACTTAAAATTAAATTTAATTAGATTGATTTGGATTGGAAAAAAAAATTCAAACCATATTAATTAATTTAACTAAAATTGTCATATTTATCGAATTGGTCGGATCCCAATAACACCCCTAAAATTGCCTCTCCACGAACGGGTACTTTTACAGGCACATGCAAGGGTTGGGCCTCGTAAAAGAATGGGCCTTTTTCTCTTAAAGCCTCCCCTTAACTTTTATACTCACGATATATATACCTCCTTTTTTTTTTATAAGTATACTTCTTTTATTTTTTTTAAATTATAAAATATTATAATTTATTTTTAGTTTTTTAAATTTTACACCTCCAACTTTTAATTTGTTATTTTCTTCTTTTTTTCCACATATTTTTTTTTCTCCTTTAATTTTGACATGCTACAAAATATGTAGGGTGAAAGAAAGGTAAAGAGGGTACATGTAAAAAATAAAATAAAATAAAGAATGATGTGTGAAAAAAAATAGTAAATTAAATGCTGTGAATATAAAATTAAAAAATTTAAAAAAATTAATAATATTTTAAAATTTTAATTATTTTTAAAAAAAGGAGGTGTATATATCATGAACATAAATAAATAAATATATATATATATATATATATATAAATAATTATAACACTAAAAGAATTAAAAAGATTAAACCTTATATATATATATATAATATTATTTATTTGAAAAAAATACTTCTGAGTCTAAGTCTCTCAAATTTTTATCATACTTTTAATTACACAATTCACTATCACTAAAGAAGTTGAATAATATAATTGATACTATTAAATTTTTTCTATTTCATAATTTTTTTTACCACCTCTATTATTAAATAAACTTTTACTCTACCTATTTGAATATATCTTTTTGTTTGTTACCAATATATATATATATATATATAATATATTTTGTACTTTTTAAATATTTAATTTAAATAAATAAATATATATATATATATATGTTTAAATATTAAACCAAACTTGTATATGTAAAAAAATATTAATAAATAAATAAATTTCCTGCTTGGAATTCAGCTCCTTGGAGACTGAATTTCGACAGGAAACAGTAGAGCGGTCTATTTACGTAAATAAAAATAAAAGAGGTTCATTTGAGGATTTTTTCTTTTTAAAAGTATTTTTGCTGTAAAAAATTACGACTAATAATAAAATTATATTGTGTATAATTTTGCATATTATGTGTATATTGTATATATGTATAGTGTATGTATGTGTTTTCCATTAGATTTATGATTTTAGTCTAACTGAGATAAAATATTTTAACTTTTTTATATCGTATTCATATAACTACTGCATGTATATTCATGTGACTATCGCATGATAGTCATAGTTTAATTATCAATGTTTTATTTTTTGTTGAGTAATAATTAAACTATAATAAGTGTAATAATCTACTTTTTAAATATTATTTTAAAAAATATTTAAAAAATTGATTACTTTAATTAATAATATTAAATTTTTTTCAAAGTTACCTCTTATATTATGGAGATTTTTACTTTATCTATTTCCACACATTATTTCTCATCAATTGTTTCTTCTAGTCTTGGTAACTTGTGGCTTTAGGACACTTGATGGATAGTGATGTCATACTTTTCATAAAAAAATGTATACTTTTTAATATCACTTTTTGCCTTTTACTTATTTTATTTTACATGTATCTCGCATTAATTTCTATTCTTATTTAATACGTAATGTATAATGATAGTACATTAAAAACATTAATAAATGGATATAAAGGAAAAGTTTCTGCTGACTAATTAAATCATATTTCTTATTAAATGTTTCATCTTC